TGAAAGCTATTTGGTTATCCTTTGAGGTTTGATAATTTTTTTTGTTCCATTTTTGGGGGGGGTGTGGGGGTGTGTTTTGGTTTTGTAATGAGCATACTAGTTAAAGGTTTCTCTCTGCTTCCTAATAAAATGGTTATTCCCAAAACTTTTTCTAAGTTCATTTTTACATGCAAAATATTTTAGTAATCCTTATAACCCATCATTTAACTTCAGGTCATAATACAGAAACTTCAGTAAAGGGTTCTTTCAGTGCACTAAGAATATTACAATCTGGGAAACATAAATCAATGTGCTTCAAAGACTTGCATTAAACTCTTTAAAACTGAATTCACTAAGATAGACAGGGATGCAAATAAAGACTGATATGCTTTATACGCCAGAATCATCCACAATAGAAAGAATAAAAAACAGTTGATGCCAACATTTCTTATAAAATGAATCCTTTACATGCATATCAATATATTTTAAATTAAAACAAATGGCTGACAAACAAGGCAAACAATATAAAAATTGATGCAAATTTCATAAAAAATACTGTTTTCACATTTACTCTGTAGCACATAAATAGGACTTACAGATTTCATATGTAAACTAATATACTTCAGTCAAATCCTCTTAATCATGCATTAAATATATCTTTTCCTATTATGTGTCAGGTCATCAGGAGTAAAGAAAGCGATTTCCAGATACATTCATGTTATCTACCAGTGATGAACACATAAATATAGAGACTAGTAACCTAATTCCCACCAGGATATAGTTATGGCTACTTCATTTTATATTTACAAAAAATAAATCTTTTGAACATCATTTAGATGGGTGACAGCACTCAAGTATTTTAATTTACCAAAAAAGTCCCTAGTAGGATAAGACCTTGTGCCTGTGTGCTGAAGCCTCTGCCCTCTGCAGTCTCAGGTCTCCTACCCACACCTCCTCCATCTCTTCCTGCAGCCTTTGCCCACCCTGCCTCTAACCACCAGGAGCTGCAAGTCCTCTGCCCTCCCTTCCCCCATCTAATCCCCCACACCTCTTGCTACCAGAAGCTCTGCCCCCACCCCAGCCACCCTGCCCTCCCACGACAGCCACTTATTCTTGCTCCAGTCTTGTCAGTCTCCATCTCTGCACCAGCCTGGTGCATGGTCCTAGCCCAGTCTGATAGTAGTGGACGTGGAGCTGGTCAGGGCCCTGCTGGAGCTGCTCTTCCCATTGAGCTATTCTGGGGCCATGCTCCAGGCTGGGGGGGGGACAGAACCTGCTGGTGCCAGAGCCAGGAGAAGGGGTAGGGAAA